CCTACGTTAACCCTACAGTTCTGTTTTTTCCTTTAATAAATGTTTGATTTTTTAAATAGAGATGGTGCCTCACTGTGTTGCCCAGACTGGTCTTGAACTCCTGGCCTCAAGGGATCCTCTCACCTCAGCCTCCTAAAGAATTGGGATTACAGGTGTGAGCCCCTGCACTTGGCCCTAAAGTTTCTTTTATGGTTCCCAGCCCAGGGTGGAACCAAGAGTAAGGTTTGGGGTCTTTCAGCCCCTGGGATTGCCCTCCCTGGCCCCTCATTCTGAGTAACTACCTCTGGGTAAACCTCTGGGCAGGTATAAACAGTTCCCTGTTGCCTTCGGTTTCAGCCATTGGAGAAGCTACAGCAGAGAAGGGATTTCTCTAAAAATAAAATAAGAGGCCGGGCACCGTGACTCACGCCTGTAATTCCAGCACTTTGGGAAGCCAAGGTGGGTGGATCACTTGAGGTCAGGAGTTCAAGACCAGTCTGGCCAACATGGTGAAACCCCGTCTCGACTAAAAATACAAAAATTAGCCAGGCGTGGTGGCGGGTGCCTGTAATCCCAGCTACTCGGGAGGCTGAGGCAGGAGAATCATTTGAATCTGGGTGCAGAGGTTGCAGTGAGCAGAGATGGCACCACTGCACTCCAGCCTGGGAGAGTGAGACTCGTCTCAAAAAAAAAAAAAAAAAGAAAGAAAAAAAAAGAAACAAAAAAATAAGGAAAAAAAACCTGTTCCCAGTTCTTTGGGATTTAGGGGGCGAGGGTGGTCCCTGAATCTCCTGTCTGCCACTTTGTCTCCTGTAGGTTGCCAATCCCAGCCCATACCCCCAAGCTCATTCTCACCCCTCCCCCAGTTTGTTTCTTTAGAAATTAACAGAAAGATAGATTCAGGTTTGCTCCCCCGTGTTCTGACCTTGCCCTGGAATTAATTATCTGCTCTTTGCTACATCAGGGTGATTTTCTCCAAGTTTAGCCTTGTTGAGGAATGAGCTTCTCTCTAGAAATCCGGCCTTGGGGAAGAAAGGGAGGAGACTGAGGACTTTTCCCTGTCACTGGTAACAAATGCTGGAGCCAGGCAGAGCGTGGAGCTGGGGTGAGACAATGGGGAGGGGTGATGACTGTGGAAACCCCAGCACTCAGGCCCATCTGGAGGGAGCAGCCTCGGCCTTTGCTGCCTGGAGAGACTCAGGCCCATCATTGCCAACGCTGCTGACTTAAGAGAAGCTGTAGATTCAGAGCTAATTACTTGATTTTTTAAAACTACATTTATGTATTTTTTATTTTTGAATAGTTTATATTTACAGAAAAGTTGCAAAGATTGTTCAGTGAGTTGCCATATTAACCCTAAATTTTTTAAAATACATTTTAAATTTTTTAATGGAGATGGTGCCTCGCTATGTTGTCCAGGCTGGTCTTGCGTTCCTGGCCCCCACTGTTAACATCTCACGTCACCATGGTACATTTGTCAGTACTAAGGGGCCAGGCACAATGGCTGACGCCTGCAAACCCAGCACTTTGGATTGAGGCAGGAGGATAGCTTGGGGCCAGGTGTTCAAGACCAGCCTGGACAACACAGTGAAACCCTGTCTCTACAAAAGATAAAAAATTAGCTGGGCATGGTGGTGGACAGCTGTAGTCCCAGCTATTCAAGAGACTGAGGCTGGAGAATTGTTTGAGCCCAGGAGGTCGAGGCTGCAACAAGCCATGATTGCGCCACTGCACTCCAGCCTGAGTGACAAAGCAAGACCCTATAAAACAAACAAACAAACAAAAAGAAACACCCTCCCCCCCCCCCAAAAAAAACAAAGAAACCAGCATTGGTATATTGCTATGCACTGAACTCCACAGTTTGTTTTGATGTCACCAGTTTCCCATGAGTGTCCTCTTTCTATTCCAGGATCCAGTCTAAGGTGCCACATGGCACGAGATTGTCACATCTCCTTAGTCTTTTCTGGCCTGTGACAGTTTCAGTCTTACCTCGCTTTTCATCACTTGTACAGTTTCGAGGCATGCTGGTCAGGTGTTTCACAGGTCTCTCGATTTTTGTGACGTTTTTCATGTGGTTAGATTGGAGATAGGAATTTGTGGAACGATCACCACAGAGGAGGAGGAGTCTTATCACATCCCATCAGAGGGTACCGGATGCCCACGTGGCATCATGGATGTGCACCTGCGTAAGGTGGTGCCCGCGGCTTTCTCCAGTGGAATTTACCATTTCCCACAATAGGCTTGTGCACATTTACTTTGTACTTTGAGCTATGATCTAATGCGATGTTAATTTTTTGTTGCTCAGTTTGTCCCAGCTTTGGCCATTTCATTCTGCAGGTTGGCTTCTGTGTCTCTTGGGTAAGCCCCATCTCATCTTTTATTTTGTGGAATACTTTCTTGCTTTCTGGGCTACAAGATGCTCCAGGCTCAGCTCAGCCCTAGAATCAGCTATTTCTCATGGGAGTCCCACTTGAATTTTTGTTTGTTTTAGAGATAGGGTCTTGCATTGTCGCCCAGGCTGGAGTGCAGTGGTGCCACCTTGGCTCACTGCAACCTCCATTTCCCGGGTTCAAGCGATTCTCCTGCCTCAGCCTCCCAAGTAGCTGGGACTACAGGCACGCACCATCACACCCAGCTAACTTTTGTATTTTTAGTAGAGACAGGGTTTCTCCATTTTGGCTATGGCTAGTCTTGAACTCCTCACCTCAGGTGATCTGCCCGTCTTGGCCTCCCAGACTGCTGGGATTACAGGTGTAAGCCACTGGGTCCAGCCTGCAAAATCTTTTTTTTTTTTTTTCTAAAATATGAGATGAGGAAACTGAGGCCCAGGGGAGGATAGGGGACCAGCCTCATGTCATAGTGGAGAACAGTGGGCCAGGGGCTTAGGCCGGGCAACCTGATACCACATGCCACCCTCTCAGGGCTGATCTTTGACCTTGTGGGATCAGGGCATGAAAAACAAGTATCCCTGAGGATACTAGACACCTAGAGCTAGGTGCCCAGAGAGATGGCGGTGCTGTGACCAGAGGAGGGCTAGGCGTGGGGAGAGGCGTGGAGGAGTTTGGTTTTAGACATACAGAGCAATGGGGCGAAGGTCGCAGGAAACCCAGGGCAAGGGGGAAATGTCGTCTGAACAGTGGTGGGAGCAGATTCTCATGATAACCACGAGAAGTCTGATGTACTTAGGCAGAAAGAGGAGGAAAAACAGTTACAGTTTTCAAAAAAATATTTTTTAAATAAAAATTTGGGGCCAGGAGTGGTGACTTACCCCTATAATCCCTGCTCTTTGGGAGACCGAGGCAAGTGGATCACTTGAGGTCAGAAGTTCAAGACCAACCTGGCCAACGTGGTGAAACCCCATCTCTACTAAAATACAAAAACTACCCGGGCATGGTGGTGCGCACCTGTGGTCCCAGCTACTCAGGAGGCTGAGGCAGGAGAATCTCTTGAACCTGGGAGGCAGAGGTTACAGTGAGCTGGCACCACTTCACTCCAGCCTGGGCAACAGAGCCAGACTCAGTCTCATAAAACAAACAAACAAACTAAAGCCACTAGGCCTAGCCCAAAATCTAGGGAAGGAGATTACCTGAGCGTGAGGATACCAGGAGGGTGAGACCCCGGGGAGCACGTCAGAAGCCACCTCCACACTCCATGCCAGCACTGTGCTAAACAGCTCATCCTCAGCATCCCAGCGAAAGGACCATCATCATCGCACCACTGTCCCAGTGAGCAAAGGAGGGCTCAGAGAGGTGCAGTGAGTTGCCCAAGGTCACAGAGCTCATGGTGGGTAGAGCTAAATTTAAACACTAGCCTGAATCCTTAGTCCAGCTCCTGCTGTGCTCACTGGTGTTTCTGTAACAGTGGTCCCCAGATTCCTATTCCAATGTTGCCTCAGAGTGTTGGCTGAAAATGCAGATTCTCAAACTAGGAGAGGCTGGGAATCAGAATCAGTGTTTGAAAGGCTTCCCCAAGGAGATTCAGTTGCTCCCCAGAATTTTTTTTTTTTTCTTTTTTGAGATGGAGTTTCGCTCCGTCACCCAGGCTGGAGTGCAATGGCTCGATCTTGGCTCACTGCAACCTCTGCCTCCAGGGTTCAAGCAATTCTCCTGCCTCAACCTCCCAAGTAGCTGAGATTAGAGGTGTGTGCTCTATGCCTGGCTAATTTTTGTATTTTTAGTAGAGACAGGGTTTTACCATGTTGGCCAGGCTGGTCTTGAACTCCTGACCTCAGGTGATCCACCTACCTCAGCCTCCCAAAGTTTTGGGATTACAGGCGTGAGCCACCACGGCCAGCCGCTCCCCAGAATTTGAGAGCCATGAATATATGGCCTTTTTTTGCACAGCGAGGATGTGATAACATGAAAATGGAATCTCTCATTCTCTCACACACACACAGAAGAGTTAGGCTTGGTCCTTGGGTTCTGAAGGAAAAAGGAACCATCGGCGTCTGATTTTAGTGATCAAGGGAAAGATATGTGGCTTCATACAGTTCACTTTTGGAACCCTTGCAAGCAGAAGAAAATGATAACTCAAGGAGATGGTGCAAGGAAGTGCTTAGGACAAACCTGCGTGTCGGAAGCGTCTGATACATTGTGGTGTTCATTAACATTATTAATGAATGTTAATCGTAATGATCAACTTGTTAATATTCCAGTGCAATGAAAACTGGACTGACTTTGACTTTGGTTTAGAGAAGAGATTCTGATTCTTTCCATTTGCTCCAGTTCAGTGGTTTAGAAAACGAAGATATTTAGTTTGGGACTGGTGTTGCTGGGTGGTTGGCGGGGAAGTGATTAATTTGTGGTTCAGTAAATAATACCTGGGTAGGTCTGGGTCCGCAGAGGCGATGAGGTTGGTCCTCCCCTGGGGCTCTGGGTTGTTCTTGGGCCTGTCTGGCGCAGGATGCCACCTGGCACCTCAGCCATCGGTGGGATCTGCGTAGACCCTGGCCAACCTCTGAGGCAGGCAGGAGGACACAGTGCTGGGGCAGAAGGCCCGATGAGCTGTTTTGTTCCTTGCAGATCAGGAGTGATACATCACAGATCCTGGAGGAAAACATCCCAGTCCTTAAGGCCAAACTGACAGAAATGCGTGGCATCTACGCCAAAGTGGACCGGCTAGAGGTACGTCTAGGCAAACAAAGGTTCTGAGGCTGTGAACCTGATCTGGCTTTTCCCTTTTCCTGGAAGACGCCGATCTGGCCTTGAACATGCAGGCATTATGCCCAATGCAGGGGGTTGGTGGTGGCAGTTGGGGGGTCTGCACTCAAGTGATATTTTGAAAAAAACCACAAGTAAGAATTTGTTTCCAGGCCAGGTGCAGTGGCTCATGCCTGTAATCCCAACATTTTGGGAAGCCAATGTGGAAGGATCGCTTGAGCCCACGAGTTTGAGACCAGCAACATGGTGAAACCCCATCTCTACCAAAAATACAGAACTAGTCAGGTGTGGTGGGTGCATGCCTCTAGTCCCAGCTACTTGGGAGGCTGAGGTAGGAGGATGGCTTGAGCCCAGGAGGTCGTGGCTACCGTGAGCCTTGATTGTGCCACTGTACTCCAGGCTGGGCGATAGAGCAAGATCCTGTCTCAAAAAGAAAAAAAAGAATTTGTTTCCAACATTTAAAATCAGGGTACTTTATATAAAAATCTGCATTTTAAGCTTTTGAAAATTCAAAAACTTTGATAACCCTGGGCCCACATTTCCTTAAATACTTTAATCTGTTTATGTTCAAGGCATAAATATATAATGTATACACGTCTAAGTATGTAATTTAGTGAATTTTTACATATATCGACATCATGTGATGATGACCCAAATTGAGAGCGAGAACATTTCCAGGCCCTGGGTTGCATTCTTGCAGTGTTCTTGCAAGAATGGATGGAGGCTGGGCATGGTGGCTCACGCCTGTAATCCTAGCACTTTGGGAGGCTGAGGCGGGTGAATCAATGGAGGCCAAGAGTTCAAAACCACCCTGGCCAACCTGGTGAAACCCTGTCTCTACTAAAAGTATGAAAATCAACCGCGTGTGGTGGCACACACTGAGGAGGCTGAGGCACAAGAATCACTTGAACCTGGGAGGCAGAGGTTGCAGTGAGCCAAGATCGCACCACTGCACTCCAGCCTGGGCAACAGAGCAAGACTGTCTGGAAAAAAAAAAAAAAAATGGATGGAGCTGGTGGCTGCTGCTCCTCAGAAGGGCATGGGCTCTCCAGTTTTCCACAGTCCTCACCATGCCCTCTTGCCTTACCACTGACGTAGCTCACCCATCTTTTACTCGCCTGGCTAAGATGCATGGCATCTCATTTCCTCCTTGCTGCACTGCAGAGTCAGTCCTCTCACTGCCCCCATCTCCTGGAAGAGGAGCATAAGCTTTGCAAAGTCAGCCACTTCTCTGGGGTCACACTACTAGTTACATCAAGCCAGGACTCCAGCTCATATGTGCCGGTGCAGATGCTCTTCATCCACCTGGGGCCCTAGGCTTGGGACCCTGGCTCCGTGCACAGCAGAGAACTGGGAGGCTGAGAGGACCTTGCGGCTGTGTCATAGTCACCTGGCCAGAGGGAATGTGAGCCCCTCCCAAGCTGCAGAGGGAGGGAGCAGGCGTGGCTGTCAGCACCGAGTTAGCAGAGAATTAACATTCTTGTCAGCAGAGAATGAAGCAGGAATATAATTAAAACTTTGCCCTTGGAATAGCTGATTCATTTGAATTTTATTCCACACGTTTGAAAGAGGAAAGAAAATGTGAAGACTTGCAGCTTGGTTCTCGCCTGGCCTGGGCCAGCCCAGCTATCAGGACCGTTCCTTTCTGAGCATTCAGTCCATTGACATTGACTGAGGGCCGGCCAGGAGAGACCCTCAGCAGGGTATTACCACATCAGCCTCCTATCGCTACTGGGAGAAATGACCATGAACTTAGTGGCTTAAAACAACACACAGGAGCCTCTCTGAGCCCACCCTGGCTCAGGAGGCTGCCCAATTTTAAAAAAAGAAGAAGAAAAGAAAACAACACCTTTTTTTTTTTTTTTTTTTTTTTTTTTTGAGACAGAGTCTCGCTCTGTAGCCCCAGCTGGAGTGCAGTGGCATGGTCTTGGCTCTCTGCAACCTCTGCCTCCTGGGTTCGAGTGATTCTCCTGCCTCAGCCTCCCAAGTAACTGGGATTACAGGCGCCTGCCACCACGTCCAGCTAATTTTTGTTGTTTTAGTAGAGACAAGGTTTTGCCATGTTGGCCAGGCTGCTCTTAAACTCCCAACCTCAAAGGATCTGCCCGCCTCAGCCTCCGCCTCCCAAAGTGCTGGGATTACAGGCATGAGCCACTGCACTTGTCCACAACACACATTTATTATCTTATAGTTCTGGAAGTCAGAAGCCCAAAATATGCCTTATGGGGCTAAAGTCAAGGTGGTGGCAGGTTGGCCCCTTCAGGAGGCTCTGGGGAGAATCTTTGCCTTTCCTTGCCTTTTTTCCTGCCCTTTCCAGATTCTAGCACTGCCTGCGTTCCTTAGCTCGTGGCCCCTGCCTCCTGCTTCAAAGCCCATGGAGTGACATCTTCCTGTCTCTCTGTTGCTGGCCCTCCTGCCTCCCTCTTGTAAGGACCCTTGAGATTACGTTGGGCCTACCTGGATGATCCACAGTGATCCTTATTCCTATTCCAAGATCCTTAACTTAATCACACCTGCAGGATCCCTTTTGCCAAGGAAGGTGACATATTCACAGGTTCTGGGACTAGGACATGGACATCTTTGGGAGCCATTGTTCTGCTGCTCACACTTGGCCAGGATTTGCTTTCATTAGGCAAGTGCTGTGAAGGGAAGCAGCGACTGAGGCATGGGATCTACAGGACCCTGGAGAAGGAGTGGAAGGAACTGTGTTAGGTGGGTGGAGGAACTGTGGGAACTGTGTTAGGTGGGTGCAGCTCAGGCAGGGGCTCCAGGCGGGATCTTGGCTCTGAGCAGGGAGGAGATTTGGATGTTGGAAGGATCTTGGGAGGCCAGGTATTGGGGGCAAAGGGGAATCAGACCCCAGTGGGGCCAAAGAAACTGGCGGCAGCAGCCAGGTTGTCCAACCCTTGCCGTCCGAGGTCAGGACTTTGGCCTTTATCCTGAGGAGGAGGAAGCCACCGAAGAGTCCGGACAGCCTAGTGGTTAGGAATGCACACCCCAGAGCAGGGCTTCTCAGCCCCAGTGCTGCTGACCTGGAAAATTCTCTGTTGTGGGGCCGTTCTGGGTATTGTAAGTTGCTTAGCAGCCTCTCTGGCCTCCACTCACAAGATACTATTAGCATTCCTCCAACCCCACTCCCCAGCGTGACAACCAAACATGTGGCCAAACATCCCCGGGGAGCAAGGTCGCTGCTGTTTCGAAGTGCTGATCTAGAGCCGCACAGCCTGGATTCACGTCCTAGTGCTGCTGTCTCCTAGCGTGTGACCCCCAGAAAATTCCCAGCCTCATTTCCCCATAAAATGGGAGTGACGGTGAGGTTCTTGCACCCAAATCCTTGTCGTATTCAACAAACATTTGCTGCACGGTGGGCTTCTCAGAGATGGGTGCTGGGCATACGACCCAGGGGAGATGTCTGGTTCCCAGTGGGTGGTCCTGGAGGAGCATTAGACAGGGAAGCAGGACGGGTGGGGCGGCTCGGCCTCAAGAGCACACACCAAGGGGTCCTGGCCAGAGCTGGAACAGAGGGGGCTTCCCAAGTGTGTGACCTGGACCCTAAGGCCTGAGATTGGGTGCAGAAAACCTGGGGAGGGAGCAGCTTGTGCAAAGAAAGGTCCAGGGGCGGGAAAAGGTAGCTTCTCAAACACCCGGGCCCGGGAGGAGCTCAACGTCAGGGATGAGACTGGAGTGAGGGATGTAGCCCACAGGGTAGGGCCAAGGCCTGGAGTTTGGACCCTGTCCTTAGAATGACAGGACCCATCAGAGGGATTGTAGCTGCTGTAACCCCCACTCCCCACCAACAGGAAAGTTGACATTGATTATTCTTTTTTTCATTCATTCATTCATTCATTCATTGTAGAGACCGAGGCTCACTAAGTTGCTGCCCAGGCTGGTCTCGAACTTCTATTTTTTTTTTTTTTTTTTTTTGAGACGGAGTCTCACTGTGTTGCCCAGGCTGGAGTGCAGCGGTGGGATCTTGGCTCACTGTAACCTCTGCCTCCCGGATTTGAGTGATTCTTCTGCCTCAGCCTCCTGAGTAGCTGGGATTACAGGAATGCCCACCACACCTGGCTAATTTTTGTATTTTTAGTAGAGATGGGGTTTCACCATGTTGACCAGGCTAGTCTCGAACTCCTGACCTCAAGTGATCTACCCGCCTTGGTCTCCCAAAGTGCTGGGATTACAGGCATGAACCACCATGCCCAGCCGATTATTCTTAAAGTATACCATTTGGAGGTGTGGGGTATATTTACCAGGTGATACAACAATAAGCACTGTCTCATTCCAGAACATTTTCCCAAAAGGTACCTCATGCCTACTGGCAACCATTCCCCAGCCCCCGACTCTACTTTCTGTCTCTGGATTTGCCTATGCTGGACATTTCATGCTAATGGAATCATACCATATATGGCCTTTTGGGCTTGGCTTCTTTCACTTGCCATAAAGGTTTCAGGGTTCATCTATGTTGTAGCATGTGCCAGGACCTCATTCCTTCTGTGGTTGAATCATCTTTTGGTATATGGCTGGACCGTATTTCATTTGTCCATGCACTAGCTGGTGCAGAGTCGGGTGCTCTCCACTTTACGGCTGTCGTGAATAATGCTGCTATGAACGTTTGCGTACAAGTTTTTGTGTGACATATGTTTTCATTTCTTTTGGGTAGATACCTAGGAGTGGAATTATTGGCAGGTCTTTTTAGGAGAGCTATGGAAACTCATTTTAGGAAGTTTCAAACAATTTTCCGAAGTGACTACAACATTTTGAACTCCACTCGTTTTAGGAAGTTTCAAACAATTTTCCAAAGTGACTACACCATTTTGAACTTCCACCCATGCAACTACTACAATTTTTTTTTTTTTTTGTGAGACGGAGTCTCTCTGTGTCACCAGGCTGGAGTGCAGTGGTGCAATCTCAGCTCACTGCAACCTCTGCCTCTCGGGTTCAAGCAATTCTTCTGCCTCAGCCTC